ATAAATATGGAGACAATCCTGAACAGCAGCACCCTCACTACATCCCCTACCTCCCAACCATGCCATAGACTTGAAAAACTAAGTCCCTAAAGCATTCTGGGCAGCCTGTGATTTTTTTTTTAAAAAGGAAATAATCTCCCCAGGTGAGTACTTTGGGGTGCACCTAAAAATGTTCTGCAGATCTCATCCAACTGTGGTATTTATATTATATGTACATATTTATATATATATGGGATGTTGAATGGTATGGTACAGACCGATATCAGCAGATCTCAGGAGCTAAGCAGGTTTGATGCTTGGATGATGAGGGGCCATGGCTCACTGGCAGAGCATCTGCTTGGCATGCAGAAGGTCCCAAGTTCAATCCCCAGCACCTCCAGTTAAAAGGATCAGGTAGGAGGTGATGTGAAAGACCTCAGCCTGAGACCCTGGAGAGCTGCTGCCAGGCTGAGCAGACAATACTGATTTCGATGGACCAATGGTTTGATTCAGTATAAGGTAGCTTCATGGTTGTTCGTGTGGATGGGAAACCACCAAGGAAGGCTCAGCAGAGGCAAACCACTTTTGTGTCTAACTCGCCTTGAAACCTACTTGCTGGGGTCACCATAAGTTGGAAGGGAGTGGTCATGGACTACAGCCAGCAGGAGGAATTGGCAGAAATGTCCGTCCACCCTTGGGCAAACTTTTATTCTGATCTTTGGAGAACTTGTAGAAGACTCAAAGGGGTGATTTCTGCCAATTCCACCTAAACATAAGAGAGATGTTGGATCAGGCCAAAGTCCCATCCAGTCCAACACTCTGTGTCACACAGTGGCCAAAAATACCAGGTGCCATCAGGAGTTCCTCCAGTGGGGCCAGGACATTAGAAGCCTTCCCACTGTTGACCCCCCCCCCCCAAGCACCCACCAAGATGACAGAGCATCACTTGCCCCAGAGTCCCTATCTATACCTTGTGGCTAATAGCCACTGATGGACCTCTGCTCCATATGCTTATCTAACTCCCTCTTGAAGCCGTCCATGCTTGTAGCTGCCACCACTTCCTGTGGCAGTGAATTCCATGTGTTAATCACTCTTTGGGTGAAGAAGTACTCCCTTTTATCCGTTCTAACTTGACCGCTCAGCAATTTCATGGAGTGCCCCCTAGAACTGCAGTTGCCTGCCATGTTCCCAACTTGGTTCCCAAGGGCTCCTCAGCTTTTAGGAGCAGCTTGGAAGGGTGGGGGGAGGGGCTAGAGAAGGGGAAAAGATCTGTCCAGTGAAGTCATTTGGGTTAGGGGTCCCTGGATCCAAACCGTTAGATTCAGATGCCAAGCAAATCTATCTGTCATCTGGACATCCTTATCTCCTTTGGAGCACAAGCTATCAGGAAGAAAATGCTAGCCACAGTAATTTAAAGAAGCTGCGTACCTGCACTTCTCTCTGAAAACGGTTTCTGGTAAGAAATATGGTGCTTCTAATGTTCTGGTTTCAATGACCTACAAAGCAAACAGAAAGCCAAGAGGACCTGAGTAAAGCACATGACTCTGTTTTTGATTGGCATCTTCTGTCAGAATGTCTATAGCAGGGGGTCCCCCAGCCCTTCTGAGATACGGTTGCCATTCCCCAGCTGGCCATTGGGGGAAATCCCGCCCCCAAACAGTGACGTTGCCGATGCGATGACATCACGTGAAAGTACCGTCACCGCGTTGGGGATAACTTCACTACAATGTTCTGGTTTGAGGGCAAAACTCTATGGTTTGAAGGCAATTTTACCACAGAGTTTTGCCCTCAAACCAGAGTGCAGCTGTGCAACGTCCTTGGCATGATGATGTCACTTCCGTGTGACGTCACCAGGTTGGCAATGTCGCTGTTTGAGAGCGGAGTGTCACCCCACTCCCGGAAGGCTCCCTCCCACCTCCTGCTAGGGTATGGTGAGTACCTGGCAACCCTATTTTGAGCCTGCGGGCACCTTTGGAGTTCTGGTACAGTGTAGTGGGCACAGCCGCAAAATGGCTGCTGCAGAAGGCAGAGCCAAGTAAAAAAATGGCTGCCACAGCTTATCTTCAGTCACCCAGTGAAGATCCTTGTGCCGTGGTGGCAGCTACTGCTGTCAAAGCAAACTTTTGAAATATCTGAAGAAGAGTTGGTTTTTATACACTGCTTTCCTCTCCTTTTAGGAGCTGCGGTGGCTCAAGTGGTTAAGATGCTGAACTGCAGGCTGTGGAAGGTCAGTAGTTCAGCAGTTTGAGACCCGGGTGCCCCATG